TGCCTCATCTTATCTGGTCTTTCTTCCCTTTCTTTTGGCAGCCCCCACCCTCAGAAATCTTGTTCGTTTCTTAAGAAGAGCAGCTCAGGTCTTTGCCTCCTGACACAAAGCCATAGTATTTTCGCTTATGTCTAAAATGTCATCAGGGCCCTTCGTTAAACAGAGTCCCTGCCCAGCCTGCCCGCAATACCGAGTGCCTGCCAGCAGCTCATAACAGACAGCGTTTCCCTGAGCCCTTACTCTCTCGGGTGAGGTGCTCCCCTCACCAGTGCCTGTGGGCAGGAGGGAATGGCATGGGGACTTTTTTTTTTTTTTAGATTTTTATTTATTTATTTGACAGACAGAGATCACAAGTAGGCAGAGAGGCAAGCAGAGGGAGAGGAGGAAGCAGGCTCCCTGCTGAGCAGAGAGCCCGATGTGGGGCTCGATCCCAGGGCCATGGGATCCTGACCTGAGCTGAAGGCAGAGGCTTTAACCCTCTGAGCCACCCAGGCGCCCCGGCATGAGGACTTCTGACAGAAACTCTGCCATCAACCTTGGGAGGCAGAACTGCCTGTAGGTTGCTTTTATAAGGAATGATGTTGAAACTGTCATCTTACAAATTCATCCTACTAAAATGTTGCTCTTAGCCGTTTTACATACAGGGTTCCCATGTTGGGAGTTAACTAGAAATAATGGGGTTCTGTCCATAAACATTTGACAAATGCTGACTTGGGGCTTTTCTCCTTGCTCCCTGTTACTCAGAATGGAAACGGTTTCTTTCATTGTATTTTCCTTTTGAACCACTAAGAGTCTTTGCTTTCTTTAGTATTTCTTTTATTAAACTTTTTGTTCTCTCTCGTGCTCTGTAACTAGCAGAATGTTCGCATTCCGATATCTGAGGCCTATAGACACCTCACGTCTTCATTTCCCTCAATCGTAGCAAACTTTTACTGTCTCTCCTGTCCACAAAATGCTATCATGGGCGGCACTTGCTGGCTTTATAATGACCTTTGACAACTGACTGTTCTGGATGTAGAGAGGATAATTTTCTTGAAGTCAGCACCCTTTACAACTGTCTACTGAACAAAATCTTCACTGGATGGTATCAGAGGTACAGATTATTGTTTTAACTAAAAGAACCTAAAGTCTAGGTATTTCCTCCAAATAAATCCAAACTTATCAACTGCTTGGGAAAAATATATTAATTATAAATATAAAACATATATAAAGAGACTCCTTAAGTCTGGAACTATTTTCTCTAGGCCAATATGAAAAATTGAGCTTTGGATAATAATAATGATTAAGTTTCCTGAAAAAAACCTTAATACAGCATTTTAACAAGCCCCATGATCTACAGTATATAGTAGCAATCAGAGTATTCATTCCAAATTGTGTATCTTGAATACTCAAAAAGGGCAAACTTGCCTCTTTGGAAATAAACCTATAGGAAATAAGAAATAAGCCTATAGAAAAATAAAAAAAGAAACTGGCATGCCTGGGTGGCTCAGGTCATGATCCTGGTGTCCTAGGATGGAGTCCCACATCAGGCTCCTTGCTCAGTGGGGAGTCTGCTTCTCCCTCTGCCTGCCACTCCCCCACTTGTGCTCTCTCTGATAAATAAGTAACTCTTAAAAAAAAATAAAAGAAAAAGAATTTTTCTTCAAAACTACACACACAGAGACACTAGAATGTTAAAAGGCACAGGGCAGGGATTTTTGTTGGTCCTGAGCTCGGTTGTATCCTCCATGCCTAGAACGGGGCTGGCACATAGTAGGTGCTCAATACATGCGTGGCAAATGATCACTTTAACAATAACGTTTAATTAGAAACTTAAGAAGTTGCAAGTATTTGGCATAAATGGACCCTGAAACAAATTGAATAAACCTAATTTTGTTTTTCCGTTTACAGCTTGCGACTATTGGGTTAAGACGTAGCCAAAGACTCCAACTGAGAAACAAGTAATTGGATATATTATAATATATAAATATAATAACATGCCTATCAGATGTCATTCCAGTCTACAGACCATAGCTTTCTCATCCTTGCTTACAATCTTGAGGTCTACTATCGTCTAATATCCCTTTAGTTTCAAGTAATGGAAAGCAAACTCCCAACTAAACCAAGCAGAAAACAGGAGTTGGAGGTTTGTGGGAAGGATTCCGGGGTGGCATATGGGCTTGCAGAACAACCAGCTAAAGGGATCTCAGGAACCAGAAGGCGAGTCTTGGCCATCAGGACTCTGTCTCCTTATGAATGTCTGCTGCATTCTTTCAGAATGTTTTCCATGGCATTGGAATCAGGTTGCCAACATCAGCAGAACTCCTCCCATCTTACTTCCTCCCCTGAGAGGAAGTTTTCTTTCCCAGCTCCGGTGAGAAAGATCCCAGAGAAGGATGCCAATTGGTTCAGCTTGGGTGACACTCCCAGCTCATGGGCCATTCTGGGTGGCTAGGAAGCAAAGGAGACTTCGGCAGCTTGTCTTGAAAGCATGTTTGGGGAGAGTAGAGCAGTTCCCCAAAAGAGTGTCGTGCCTTCCCAGGTGAGAACATACTTCGTTCATAATGAAAATTACAGCCCTCATGTGAAGGCTTCCAAGAGACACTGCCTTCTGTGGGCTGGCCCTGCAAGGCTTTCACTTTCAAATTCTGGGTTCCCAACAGTCTGTTACTTAAGGATTCTTGTTTCCAGGGACCAGTAACTGAATGAGTAAGCTGTTCAGCCGAGAGCTGCATTATTAAAATAGGATGGTAACAGTTTTATCTGAATGAAAAAAGCAACACAATATTAGTTATCTTTAAGAAATCAAGACACGGGGCGCCTGGGTGGCTCAGTGGGTTAAGCCTCTGCCTTCGGCTCAGGTCATGATCCCAGGGCCCTGGAATCGAGCCCCACATAGGGTTCTCTGCTCAGCAGGGAGCCTGCTCCCCCCCACCCCGCCTACTGTGATCTTTGTCAAATAAATTAAAAAAATCTTAAAAAAAGAAAAAGAAATCAAAACACTTTCACCATGACTTAAGAAGGTTAGAATTACCTGATGGACTGAGAAATAAAATTTCCTCCATTTCCCAACTGGAAACTCAAGCAAGATATCCTCTATAAGGCCTCAGTTGGTGAGGGCCTGGGCTGCTTCTAGGCTAGTACGTTTTACATTAAAGACCAGCATCTCAATAAAGAAGTGCAGCCCACAGGCTGGTGTTCGAGTTTTGGCTTTATTTTATAAAAATACACAACTTAAATACATATGACACTCTCTATACAAGACATAAACAACTGTTAGATTTAACATTTTCAGTTATTTCAACAGAACACAAATATGCAAATTACCTCGTAAGAGCGAAGGGTATCGTTAGAGACTCTGCATTCACAGTCAGAGGGGACGATCACCCTGCAGGATGCCGGACGCTAACCCAGACCGTCCAACCTACCGACAAGCCACTTCACACCAGGGCCTTTTTGGCACGGCTTAATATTGCACTGCTTGTTAGACACACTCTAATTTCCCCATGTCACAAATCTAAGCTTTTGTCTTCTCTAGAAACGTTTAACGGAAAAACCAATGTACAAACGTTATACTTGTGCTAATACCAAACATGAGAAGTATGAACCTTTTTTCACTTTGCAAAACTTGCAGTGGAAGGTGGGTAGCTCTCTTGTGCAGCTAAACTCATTTTCCAAAAGTTTTGCAAAAACGTTGGCAGACTGAGTGAGCTAGGTAGAGTGCGGGGGGGGAGGGAGTGACATGCCAGCGCCCACTGAAAGTACCTCTGAGAGTGGCGCTGTCACTGTCACTGTCAGCGGCAATCCGCGCGCGGATCCACCCTTTCTAACTCGGGCCTAAACTACCTCCCTCCCCCTCGAGATTCTGTCACCGTTCCAGGAGGAAGTGTGGTCCTGATACAGGGCTGACAGGGGCTCCTTACTTACTCTGGCTTTCTTTCAGAAATTTAGCTGCCTTATCTATGGCTCTTTTAACTAGCAGTGAATTAGATACTGGTTTATGGGTAGAGAGAAATTATTTACCAGTTGGGAATTCAATGCACGAGAACACACTAGAGTGAGTTTCCTGAGGTACATGTGAGCCTCAAGAAAAGTGTGCCAGCGACAGGATCTCCGCAGCTTTTCCTGGGTGGCAGCACAGTGCTCGAGGCCTGGACTTCGACGTTCACAGGCTAACAGAGCCGAGGACACATGTGTGGGGAGACGCGAGACAACGAGGCTGAAGGAGAACTGTGGACAGGCGAGAACATCAGTTCAGAAGAAGCCTCAAAGGGGAGCAGGGGGAGAAAAGGACGGTGTATTTTAAAGTGCTTAGGTAGGATGGGCAATTAGAAATATCTCAAGGGATTTCAAAAAGCTTTAAAACTGCTCGTTCCTGATGACTCAGACATGGAAGTAATGGCTTTAATACGAACTGTTCAAACTTCTTAGTCTTTCCTGAAAAACAAGATTCTCCATCAAATATTTTTAGCCAATGGAATGATTCTGCTAGTTGTTAATCTCACCAGTGTATTCTGAGATCCCAACTGGCTGAAGGAATTTCATACGTTGAACTACAAAGTACATGTTTGCACCGAGAATATAAATTTAATGCACAGAGGTCTACAGAGCTTTGTATTACGTTAGTACCAAAAAACTTTGCATTGCAAATCATGCTCTATTATCCCTTAATATTCTACTCAAGGATTATGGCACTCAGACAAATTCCAGGACCCTGAAGCTTAACTTTCTTCTTTTCTTTCTTTTACATAAATTCATGGCCATCCTTAACATTAATAATGAAGGTGTTAGGAACTGAGTTCTAAGACCTAAGAACCAAAATCAGGCTAAATTTCTACAAGTCACTCGTTATACAGGAACGGAAGCACTAACAAATTCTGTTGTAACTGTTCATCTGCACAATGTAGTTGAATGAGGTGACCAACCTGGTCTTTAGCAACAGTGATGAAAACTAGCACAGGCTCCATACAGGGCCACATACTCAGTGGGCTGTCATGTCAGTTTGGGCTGATGCTACCATGCACAGTCCCTCGTTTATTTGACTCTAGTTTCTTTACAAGAATAGACCCACATTTTTAATTACTTTAGGCATGATGAAGGCCTTAAGTAAAATTTAAATTCAGAAGCACTTTGGGTTGGAGTTTTATAGTCCCAGAAGCTATTTAAAATTACAAGTCCAGAGGAAAATCCCCAGGAAATCATGTATTAGACTCAATTCGTAAAAAAGAAGCATTTTCAGTATTACCAAGATGAAAAGATATACTAGAAAACAATGCTCTGGTTTCCTGACAACAAGCTCAATGCGGCCCAAGGGCAGACACGCAAAGGGAAGCTGCTTTGGAGAGGAGAATCCAGAAGACTGCAGAGGGCTGGAATGAAACTGAAGTGGCTTTTCTTTTTGGGTAGGTGAATGCTATTTGGTGATCAATATGGGATAGCTGCTTGAAACTCACATTTCATGCACCTTAAAGCTCAATTAGTGCAGGGTGGTTGCAGCTAAAAGATGAGTAATGTACCGAGATTCACAATACAATGGGTCAAACAGCAAGACCAGTTCTGAATGCTCTGGAGGAAGGGCCAGTCCTAACATACTTGATCTTCATCCGTTCCGTGGATATGGAGGAGGAGACTATGGCAAGAGAATGGATTTCTCTACATTACATAAGCTTTCATAATCTAGACTGTAAACATATTACTGTTTAGAAATATGGAGCCCAAGCAAAAATTAGAGATTCTTTCCACACAGGCCTTACGATCTCTCCCTCCACCAACACCCAAAGGATCCACACCTGACTCCGGTCAACCAGGGCTTGTACGGGAGGACTATAAGGTGAAGCCTCGTAAGGGAGGATGGAAAAGGCAGTGGCCAAAAGCCAGACAATCAGGAGAAAAATGACAGATGTGGTATATTTAAAAAATAAATAAATAAGGAAGAGAAAAGGAAAAGGAAGGAACTCAAGTAGCTAAGTGAAAAGGCCAGGCGGTAGAGGAGTGCCCCTGCGTTTCCTACCTACCTGTGGCAAAGGATGCAGAAACAAGAAAAGGCAGAAGCCTCATCCACAGGCTCTCTCAGGGGCATCAGACAAGTCCAAGCCAGGCTGGCCGTGCCCTTGGGCCTTGCCTCTGGCCTTGCCTTCCGGGATGCGTATACAAGCTCTCATGTGACCTGCAAGCATGTCTGTTGTGGGACGTGACTCCTCCTTCCTGGGTGCCCAATGCTCCCTACTGCTACCGGCATTGCTTCCGTGGCTGGAGAAAGGCCTCAGATCCAGGGGCAAGACGAGCAACAGCCAGTGTTCCAGAACTCGTGGCTGCCACTGCCTTTTCTCTCCTAGAACTAGCCTGTCTCTCCCCCTGGTGGCTGGAGAAGGGGACAGAGTATAGGTCCACAAAGGACTGCTCAATTTGGAACGGTATTACCTTGATTCACAAACTTCCAAAGGGCTCTCCAGAGTTCATTAATTATAGATGGATCGATGGTTCAAATCCTACTAAGGAACTCGTAAAAGAAGTGACTTGCTTGTGAGGTCCCACCACACTTTTGGGGGTTTTGTTATCATTTCCTTCTGTTTCTGCTGTCTCCTTCTCCAATGAACTTTTAAAAAAGGAAAAGAAAAGCGAAAGGCCCTCCTGTGCCCCTTCCTCCCTCCAGAAACCTCCTGGACTGTCCTGAGTCAAGTGCATGATGGATGCTACCATTACCGAGCTCACAAATGAAGGAGGAACAAAATTCGGATTATTTGGAAATAGGAAAGGAACTATACGTACAAGTGGCGCTTGGTTGTCTTCACTGCTCTGTAAAATGTCTGAAATGGTCACAGGCACCTGAATTTCTAATTTACAAATGACAACACAAGAGAAAAAAGCAGTAAGATTTTTGTGGAGAAAAAAAAAAAAATCCATGGTGGTTATTTCACTTTTAGGGACAGTCAATTTATACTTGAGGGCCACACTTGTCTTTTTCTCTGACTTCCTACTTGATGTTTTTCAGGAGGGCAGTCCGGGCATTCACCACCGCTTTGAAGGCATCTTCACTACCGGGCGCCACGCACTTGTCGGGGTGAAGCAGGACAGCGAGCTTCCGATAGGCTTTGTTGACTTCATCCCTACGAGAAAGAAGCCAAGCTCTATGTCAACGACAGGGTCAGCCCCCCGCCACGGCAGTTTGATGTCTGGACTTACATCCTATCTCTTGCATTACTACCTTTTCTCAAAAGTGGGACTAAAGGACTTGGAAACAAACAATAAACAAGTAAATAATACGTTACAGACAAGTAGAGAAAGAAATATAATGTGACGTATCGAAACACCAAGGAAATGCCTGGTAAAAGAAAGATCCACAGAAAGGTCCTTGGCACAGAGCAGGCATCCAGCAAATCTTTGCTGTCTGAAGCGATGAGGGCACGGGGTGATCAGGAAAGGCCTGTGGGGTGGGGTTCTGAAGGAGATGGGGAGACACTGAGCCACCGGGAGAGAGCCGGCAGAAGCTAGGAACTACGAACAGCATGGCCGTGGCATGAAGTTCCACGAGGACACTGCTGGGGGTAACAAAAACAAAGTTGGCCAGGAAGCACTGACCAGTAAGGGAGGGGCCTTGAAATCAAAACAACAACAAAAAAGTAGACTTGATAAACAATGACATCAGTAAGAGTTTCATGACAAAAAAGGTGCTGAGAAAGCTGATTTTCGAGGTTAGGAGATTGTTACAAGAAGCCAAGCACGAGTACAAGAGTCTGGATCAAGGGAGGCCAAGGGATGGATGCCACACAGAAAGCATCGGCAGAAGCAGGTGACGAGCTGGACATACAGGTCAAGGAGATGGAAGAAAAGGGGCTGAAATGAGTTCCAGGGTCAAGGGGATGCTGAGGCTCAGGGAAGATGGTGACACCATTGACCAAGAAAGGGACACTGCAGATGGGGGTACCAGAGAGCTCCAGCGAGCTCCTGAGACCAAAGAAGAAAGAAAAGAGAAGGGAACATTACCCATAAAGGAAAGGGGCAGTAAAGTGAATCCCAAAGACCAGGAGAGCTCTGGGAGACCACCTGTCCCTCTCCTTGCTCTTCATCATCCTCTGGTGTTAGGCCTCCAGAAGCTTCTAAGTATCCAGCTCCTCCTCTGGTCAGGTGTAGTTCTGTCCTTACCGGATAGTTTTATTTCCCACCACCTTTTTGTAATTTAGGTTTCCAGTTATGCTATTAGCCTGGATATGGTGCTTTTCCCAAACGCTCTAGTTTTTCTCCTTTATGTTTTATCAGAAGGATTTCTACTCGGCTCTCTGAATTAGAGAGATGGTCTGTGATTGTCTCGCAGGTGATGGAAAGTCTTGGGTGTCTACTTGGAAGGACTGAGGTCACAGGGCCATGTTCATAGTCCTCTAGGCTTGGGGCATGTATTCTAAGACTTTTTCTGCTTTCTGCTCTTAAACAAATCCTGAATTCTCTTATTCTCCTTCTTTTTTTTTTCTTTAAAGATTTATTTATTTATTTAACAGAGAGAAAGACAGCGACAGAGGGAACACAAGCAGGGGGAACAGGAGAGGGAGAAGCAGGCTTCCCGCTGAGCAGGGATCCCGATGCGGGACTCAATCCCAGGACCCGGGATCATGACCTGAACCGAAGGCAGACACCTAACAACTGAGCCACCCAGGCACCCCTTGAATTCTCTTGTTCTAAAACATGCATGGGGCTTTTTTACATAGACAATTCTGATATTAGCTAACAAGAATCATATTCTCCCTCTCTGAAGAAATCCGAATTGCCAGAATTCTTCACCAAAATAACAAATGTATTAACAAATACATTTACAAAGTAACAAATACATTAATTCTGCTGAAGATGAAGATTTTCTTAAAGTTCAAGAACAGTAAACATGACACTGAACAAACATTAAAACTCTTTATAACTTCAAAACACTGTTTCTAGGTTCTGTTCAAGTGTGCTCACTGACATACAAAATTAGTTCGATCGACCCAGAGAAAGAGCGGTAAGAGAAGCACATGTTTATATTGGTCAGTGATGGAGAACTTGTGGAAGTCCCGTATATTTTGGTAGATTCCAATTAATACAGATAGTAAATAAATAAGGAACCTGAAGTTTCTTTTTCCTTAATAAACACTGTACTAAGTTAACTAAGAAGTTTCTTTCTTTTAGAGCCAATCTCCCTTGGGAGGTAAACAGAAGATGTTAGAATGAGACTCTGGAAATCCCAAAGGACATTCAAAAGACACCAATTAACTGTGCTATTTACACAAGATCATCTGAAATGTTCGTGTGTTTAAAGTCTTCTCTGTAAGGCCTGGCAAGTCGAGGTGACCAGTAACTGTTTTCTTCTTCCCCTGCCCTCTCGCCTTCTGGGCCAGAAGAGGAGACCAAACTGGAAAAGAGAAACTTAACGCCATTGGTATCAACAAGGTGTTTCAACACGCACTTTTGTATGCGTGTGTGTGTGAATCAAGGTGACAAAGTAGAAAGGGACAAGGTTGGGGAGGAAAGTTATGGTGCAAAATAAAAAGACCTGAGAACGCTTACAATTACAATAAAAATCATAATATGTACAGTAACAGAAGCATTCTATTGTTAAAAGTTATATAATCATACCAAACAAGGATTTATTCTTGCACAAGCAACAAAGAATAGTGATTGTATTTGTCTTCCTCCCAAATATTTCTTTTGGCTAAAAATAAAACCATTTAACATAAATTCATACACAGATGAGGACCTAGCAGGATTCTGAGGGCCATAAAAAGAGACAGAGCCAGGCAGACACACAGTGTTCAAGGTCAAGAACCAATTCTACCACTAACTCCTAGGGTCCTTGAACATGTGTTTAGTCTCGCCAAGTTCCAGTTTTCTCACCTATAAAATGAAATGTCTGGAGAAGCTGCTAATATCCTTTTCCTCTTCTAAAATTCTGTGATTTAAAATTTCTCTTTTGTAAGGTATTTTTTTAAGGTTACATTTGCTTCAAGGCTCCTATTCCACACAGACAAAAGCAGAACACACCATTACCGAAAGTATTCATGCAAATACACTGCAGAGCTCCTTCATCAGGCCACTGTGTCCTCTACTTTGTTTCTCTGGCATTCAGTTAATTCACTGAAGAAAAGTTATTACATAAGCTAATGCATTTCCACACATCTTCATATTTCCAGTCAATGACAAGAAGATATATCAGACCTATGATGTTGACAGCTGAATTTTTCCCCAGGACAGAACTTGGAACTAAGATCCTAGAGCACCGCTTACCTTGAGGCCCCAGGTTTGACTCCCAACATGTCCCAACTGTCTTTACTGTTTCGAATTCTGCGAATGGTGTCTGCTTGTTCTTTGGTGAAACTAGCATTGCTATTCGTGATAGGACGTTTCCCTCCATTTTCACATAAGTCAACTATGGATACATAAAAGGTCTGCAAAAAGAAATCATCCCAGAGGAGAACTGATTTTATGAAAATAGGAATTTCCTTTAAGCATAACTTAAAGAATTTTAATATATTACAATAACTTAAAATTCACCATAAAGCAAATATATAGTCTGGAAGGTTTTTTTCTTTTATCTTATATGTGTGTTTATGTGTATATGCACACCTTGTGTATTTTTTTAACACACAAAAGTATAAGGAATAAACTTCAAATGGCTCATAATCTTCCTCTCAAATAACACTCCTGAGGTTAAAAGGTAGTAGGTGAACACTGTTAGAAAAATTCAAATAGTAAATAAAAGTGTAAAATGAAAACTGTCTTCCTGCCCCTCGAGTTCCTCTCCTAGAAGTAACCATTGTTAATATTTTTTGAGTATCTTCCCAGAAAAATTTTCTATCAGAATACCAGTATATCAGGGCACCTGGGTGGCTCAGTGGATTAAAGCCTCTGCCTTTCGGCTCAGGTCATGATCCCAGGGGCCTGGGATTGAGCCCCACGTGGGGCTCTCTGCTCAGCGGGGAGCCTGCTTCTGCCTGCCTCTCTGCCTATTTGTGATCTTGGTCTGTTGAATAAATAAATAAAATCTTAAAAAAAAAAAAAATACCGGTATATCCATCCCTACACTAAACACTGACATAAGAGAAAGCAGATTAAACATACTGCTTAGCTCCTCAAACTTTTTCACATAAAAATACAGAGGCACCTGGCTGTTTTAGTTGGTAGAGCGTGCAACTCTTGATCTTGGCGTTGTGGGTTCGAGCCCCATGCTGGGAATAGAGATTACATTAAAAAAAAAAGCTTTTAAAAAAATATACCTTGGACTCTTTCTCTAGAGAGAAAGTGCATATAGACACTTTCCTCATCCTTTTTAATGACTGTTCAGTATTTCACTATGTGATTGTATCTTAATTTATTTAACCAACTCCCTATTTCCCCAATTGACAAGTCAATTATTTCCAGGTGTTGCTATTACACACAGTGCTTTAATGAATACTCTGTGTGTGTGTGTGTGTGTGTGTGTGTGCTTGCACACTTGTGGAGATGCTGCTTTCAGATAAATTCCTAAAAGGAGAAGTACTAAGTAACAGTGTACAGGCATTTTAATTTTTGATTTTGACAACTGTCCTACAAAATGACTGTGCCAGTTTACACCCCCATCACAGAGTCCGACACTCTATTTCTCTGTCCCCTTGTCACTATGGGGCATTCTCACGTAGCTTCACTTTCGCCAAACCTATGTGTAGCACACAGCTTGGATTTAAAGTTTCTGTAAGTGAAACTGAGTGTCTTTTCATATGCTTAGTGCCTTTCCTTTTTCTCTAAATTGTTCAGATTCTTTGCCCATTTTTTTTTTATGTTTTTCAAAGCAAAAACTATTTTTTGATCCTGCTCATAGTTCAGTTACTATTATTGGATAACTTTGCTCAGAAGATTCATTTAATATACTATACTGCTCTCAAATTGACACATCCCTTCTTCCCTCCATCTCCTTTTAAATCTCTCTTCTTTTTCAGATATGTCTATAATTCCTGTCATTGTCCAAAATTTTTCCATTTCTCTTAGACTCCTCCTTCTTATCTCCAGTAATAGCTAATAGACTTGACAACCTAAACAAGAAGGCTGATTTGTGAGGAGGTTTTCTTTGGTTTATCAGTTAAACTAAAATATAAACACTCCCAGATCTCTGAGGACACAAGCATTCACTCGTAACACACATGGTTTAGAAGCGCCAGCTGTGGTATGGCGTACAGAATAGGAGAACTGAAATCAAGGGTCTGTTTACATTCCATGTCTGAGTTCCAGCCATGATGGAGTGACAGGGATTGGGCTAGAACTCCTGCCATAAACTACTATGAAAATCGACAGACAGAGGAAGAAACTATTTCCAGGTAGTGGACCACAGCAAGCACAGTACTGCCCCTCAGTTTCTACCTGGAGCCCATTTCCTGGCCATGCCTCAGAGAGCTGGTCTGAGCAGTCCCACAGTCCTAATGAAGGAAAGAGAAAGAGATCAGAGTTTGAGGATACTGAAGGGGCTGGAATCTGCAGAGCGAGGCATGGGAGAGGAAGGAGAAAGGCAGGATTGGGCCGCAGAAGTCCATGTGACGGTTCCCCACTAATCTGTAGCTGTGGTCTAGGCTATAAATGCACAGGGTGAGATCACCTGAGGCTGACCATGCGACTGAGAAGAGAACCAATATACTAGAAGTCTAGTGGTGCTTTGGGAAGAGGCATTCCAGGAACAGTACAGTTTGACCTTGCTAGAGTGCAGGCATTGCTTACTATTTCATTAGTATCCCGAGGATCTAGCTGAGACACCACAGAAAGACTATGGCTTGGTAGTAAACTCATCCTGACAAAACTGAAAACCAAGAGCTGACAAGGTCTAAAAGGAGACGGAATTTGAAGGCTGAGTTCTACCAAATTAGAAGGGCTTAGACAACAATTTGGGCTTACTTCAGATCCTTGCTATGAAAGCAAAAAACCAAACCCATGCAAATTCAATGTAATCTGTTGGTAACTGCCCGCTGAAATAAGAACCAATATTCTGCTGAGGAAAATAAAGAATCTAGAGCCTCTACAATGCATTATCCACAGTGTGTTGGTATTCAATCAAAAATCACTATTCATACAAAGACACAAGAAAATATGATCCATAGTCAGGTGAAAAAAAAAGAAAAAAAAGCTGTCAACAGAAACTGGTCCCAAGATGATTCAGATATTGGACTTAGCAGACAAAGACTTTAAAGGAGTATTATAAATATTTCAAAGAGATAAAGGAAAACTTAAGAAGTGAACAGATAGAGAATCCCAGCAGAGAACCAGGATCTACACAAGAAAATCAAATGCAAATCCTAGAACTAAAAAGTATCGAGTTGAAAAATTCACTCAGATTTAAAAGCAGCTGAAAGACCATTAGAGACTATGCGATCCAAAAAATAGAGAAAAAGGAAAGAAAAATAACATAGTCTCAAAGACTATGGGACAAAATCAAATGGCCTAATACACATGTAACTGGAGTCCAGGAAGGAAATGAGTGAAAATAAACTAAAAAATTTTGGAACAAATGATGATAAAAAACACCTGCTTAGCTCTCCGAGAAACTCAACAAATACCAAGCAGGATAGATATAAGGAGAATCACATCTAGTCATACAGTCCAAAGCCAAAAGCCAAAGATAAAGAAAAACTCTTGAAAGTGGCTAGAGGGGAAAAAATCCCCAACACATTATGAACAAAAAAACGAGTAAGAATGCGTACTAATATCTCATGAGTTGCAAGAGAGGCCAGAAGAGAATGGACCAACATCTTTAAAGGGCTGAAAGAAATTTAATCTTCAAGAGTCGTTATTTATACCCTTGGACAAGTCACTTCAGTACTCTTAGATGTTATAAAATCTGAAATGAGAATAAAACCTGCTACACACTAAATCTCAAATGAGATGAAACATGCAAACTTCTCCAGAATAGTAAAACACTATTCAAATGATCAAGTACCGTTATTGCACATAAATAGGTACAGGTTCATGTACTCAATAGAACAGGATGTGGCAAGCCAACATCAACCTTATTGGTCTTGAAACAGAAGCTATGATGCCCGATTCAAACTGTCAGCCAAGGATGAAACCTGTCTTCTAATAGGGGCAGTGACATCTTAAGAGAAAGAAATTCAGTATAAAGGATTAAATAAAATCCCACTCAATAATCAAGAACAACTCTTTATAGTATAGCTACATTATTTGAAATGCTAAAAATTCCCAAAATATCAAGATATATTCATAAGAGAAAAAATGCATAATTCATGTCACCACTTACTTCCAAATGTATCTATAATCAAGAGTTGACTTTATAATTTATTATTTTAAAAAAGGCTTGTTCTGGGGGTGCCTGGGGGCGTGGTTGGTTAAGCATCTGAATCTTGGTATCAGCTCAGGTTGTGATCTCAGAGTCATGAGATCGAGCTCCATGTCAGGCTCCCTGCTCAGCTCGGGAGTCTGCTTGAGTATCTCTCTCTCCCCGTCCCTGTGCCCCTCCTGCTCATGCTCTCTCTTTCTCTCTCTCTCTCTCTCTCTCTCTCTAAAATAAATAAATAAATAAATAAATAAATAAAATCAATCTTCTTTAAAAAAAAAAAAAAAGGTCTTGTTCCGGGCACCCAGGTGGTTCAGTTAGTTAAGTGTCCAACTCTTGATTTCAGCTCAGGTCATGGTCTCAGGGTTGTGAGGTCAAGCCTGCATTGGGCTCTGTGCTAGGCATGGAGCCCGCTTCAGATTCTTTCTCTCCCTCTGGCCCTCCCCACTCCTTCTCTAAAAAAAAGAAAAAGTAAATAAATAAACCTTGTCCCTTAAAATTATTAAAGATTAGTAATTTTTTAAAAAATCACCATCCATTCAGGTTGCAATATGAGTACATCCTTCCATTGTCTACTTGGTGGGTAAGACCTTATTTTTACGTGTGATTGGCTGGACTCTGCAACGCCAGGCTCCTATTCTTTAACTGCACCCTTGCAATATAGGATTATATCAGCTACGGCAAGGCAATTTCACCAAAGTAATCCTTCCATCTACCTATTCATGCAAATGTAACACCATTAACCAAAGGTGGTTCTCAAGAAAATCTTTGTTCTATTATAAGTAAGTATATAATAACAGTTGTTAAACTTGATGGTCATCAGAATCACCTGGAAAGCTTTTTCAAAATATAGATTCTCGAGCTCCAGCACAAGCACTAAGCTTCCAGTAGTTTTGGAGCCTGGAAATCTGTATTTTTAAGAATTTCCCAAAGTAATTCTGATGATCAGCCAGGTCTGGTCTCAAGCACACAGCAGGCAGATACCACACACACACACACACACACACACACACTCTCTCTCTCTCTCTCTCTCAATCTTTTTCTCACCAACTTCTGAAAAGAACAAGCTTATTCCAATGAGAAATTCCTATTACATTTTTGCTTCTCATAATTTAAACTAAAATTTGGCAGGGTCAGCCTCGGAACAAACAAAACAATGCCAGCTTACCTGGAACATCTCATTGATTCCCTCTCCAGTCTGTGCTGAAGTTTCAAAGTACAGGAAGCCTTTGCTTTCAGCCCACAAACGCCCTTCACTTTCATCTACACAGCGGTGCTTGGTACAGTCAATCTGAAATAGAAAGTCGGGGGACAGAGAGAAGACCCCAAACTTGACCGGCTAGCACAGGCCCTGTGAGGTCGTCATCAATCTTTTACTGAGGCAAAAACTACTCTTACATGAACTCCAGCACCAGTATATACAATTACGAGGACCAAAAGAGACCCAAAAAATTGCCAATAGGGAACATAGACTGATTTTCTGTGGCAAAATGACAAGTGCCTGCTCCCGCACTTCCCACTTTATCCTCGAAGAAAACTGCTCACCTCAAATTCACCTCTGTGAAAGTAGGCTTCATGATGACTCCCACACTCAAATCTGCTTTCCATTCCTTTCCATAATCCACGCTGCACACCTAATTACTGTCCCTTTTCTAATCAAGGCCAGAGTGTAATTATTAGGATCCCCTTCTCCTGCTCTGTCACTAATACCCTTCCCCATGTATAGCACCAGAAAAAAATGGATAAATACCCCAACATATGGGAATTTGTGTTTTTATTCTTTATGTTTTAGGGATGTATGTTTTGAAAATCTGTTGATTCCTATAGTATAGAATAAGGATTTTTTTTTTTTTCATTTGTTCCCCAAAACTCAGAGCTGCACTCTTCCTATAATGGATCCACAAAGTTGAGCATACAATGTCCACAGCAGTTACCTTGTTGGCACACACTGCAAATACAATATTTTCCATGTTTCCATGAGGTCCAAGATCCTGCTTCATCTCTGCCAGCCACGCATCAAGGGCGTCGAAGGAATCTTTCTGCCCAACATCATAGACCAGTATTACACCCTGTGTATCCTTGTAAAACTCATTACGAACCTTCACATAAAAGAACAGATGTGCAATTGGAGGTTTTGTGATTTTATAATATATCTCACAGTCATTAACATAACAAAGGGCATTCGTTTGTGCATACATAGTATTTGCTATTGTATCTCAATATCTACTAGTCTTTAGAGGACTTTTTATAAAATCAAAGTAACATGATAAGAAAAACCCTACGAGGACAAGGTCTTGTGATGAACGTAACAGCTTCCTGCCTCAGCCCTTCTCACCTCCAGCTCCACTCCCTAGAGGCAATCCATCTTTAATTCTCGTTAGTAGATCTTAACACAAATTCTATAGAAAAAAGCTCTTCTCAGGAAGAACGAAGAACTTCAGGCAAAAATGACACGAGCATCAGCAAGACGTACGGCCATTTATATACCAGAGCCTGGAGCAGGCTCTCTGGGATGCTGGGTAGAGCTTCCCTGACTCTAGGGTCTCCACACTAACTTCAGAACTCCAAACGCAGAGCCCCAGGGGTGTAATGGCTCTAGAGTCAAATCTGGGGTCACTCTTACTTATTAGTTGTGTGATTTGGGGCAATCACTTAACCTCTCTGCGTCTCAGTGGCCTCATCTATCAAATGGGGGCAGTACTACTTCCTTCACGGGGTAATTCCGAGGATTATATGAGATGATGAAGGCAACGCACCTAACAGTGCCTGTGAAACAATGTCTATTTGCATCTTCTGCCTTCCTTTCTCACCCTCCTCTGATGGTCCACCTTCGGTATTTTGGCTAGAAATGGCAACTCGCTTCTGGGGCATATCTATACTTCTAGGAAGAGGCAGCACGAAGTATAGGGCACATGAAAGTGGCAGAGGAAGGATAAGTCGAGTGGGTGAGGAGTAACATTGACAGACCGGGGGTTTCAGGCCAAAATTCCAGTAAGAACCTTGACAGAGGCCATGTATTACTCCCTTCATCTCAGAGATTCCAGTATGCACATGCCCATACCAGCCTGTTGCAAGAAATGAAGACTTCTTACACACATCAGGCATGAAATTTAGGTTTCTGAGTATAGACAGACGCCTGGGCCAAGAAGGCAAATGTCTATTAATTTGTAGACACAGAGGCAGTTATCTCCTAAATTAAAACCAATTAAATCAGAAAGAATTAAAGTGAAGAACAGCAGGACTCTTCTCCCCTCAGTCCTCAAGGTCCTCAGCCCACCTGCAGAAGTGAAAATGGGCCTCTGCCTTCTTCCCTGAAACTCTTGCTGCCTTGGCTCCCATACGCCACGCTCTCCAGGTTCTTTCTTGTCTGGTCTCTTACAAACTCCTCCTCTCTCCATTGCTCCCACTCCAGCTGGCTGCCGTAATTCCCCTAATCCCATCCCAAACCCGCAGCCTTTCTTTTTCAATCCTTCCTTCCAACTCAGACAACATAACCACCTGCATAATTTCAACTGGGAGAAACTCCAAGGTGAGCCTTTTCATCTGTGCTTCCAGACCTGCGTTTCTAGTTAACTCTAGACTCTCCCTGCTCAATGTCTGGCTGGAATCTCAAATCCAATATGTGCAACAGGAAACCCTCCAACTTATTCCTTCCCAATCTTTTCCTTCCCTTGAACTTCTAGTGATGAAAGGAGCACACCATTCTCTGAGCCATGTGGATTGAAAGTCTAGTGTTAATCTTTGCTGCTTTCCTCTCCTTTTTCACTCTGCAGGTATAAACAATCCTGTAGGGCCTGCCTCTGCCAGATTTCCTGCACCTGTCACTTCCTTTCCATTTCCATGTGCCAACATTACACTACCTCTTGACTACTACTGCAAGAATTTTCTAAGTAACCTCCCCAGCAACATTATACACATTACATATTTATCTTTTCAAAGCCCTGGTTCAAAAATTCTTTAGTGTTTCCCTACTGCCAACCCCTTAAATTTCAAATTCTTTTAACTGGTGTTGAAAGTTTCTGATCAGTCCCCCACCAGCTTCCCAGTCTTATCCTCCTCCTACCTCCTGTCCTTCAAAGTGGATAATCTCTCATTCCCTAAACCTCCCCTGTGCCTCTCTAACTCTGTCTCGAAACAGACACCTCTTTATCTTTAATCTTTCAAGTTTAGCTATGACACTGCATCTTTCATGGAGTTTTTCCTGCCCCACACCTTATCATCTAACCCCCAACCCCTGCCAAACAGAATCTAACCCCTGTATCCCTGAAATACCATAGCCTTTGTGCTTCTAGTAGTGCTCATATTACTTCCTGTCTGGTTTTATAGTTGGTAGCATACACAGCTGCCTTTTCCAGTAGGCCGCAAGTGACAGGCATGTGTCTTGATATGTCTGTCTTTGTGTCAGCCAACAGGGCCCACCAGGTGTAAGTATTCAAGACATTTTAAATCAAGAAGAGCTGAATGTAGAGAATGTAAGCAAAAGCCAAAGAATTTCAAAGTGCAAATTATGCTATCCAGAGGGAGATTTGCGTGTAAATAGAGGTTTAGGCAAGCCTCATGGGTTTCTCTTTCAACTGACTCAAGTTCAAGTCTGGGCTCAGCAACTGGCTCCCTCTGTAATCTTAAGTAAGTGGTTTTACCATCTCCAGCTTTGGTTTTCCCATCTGTAAAATAAAAAAGGAGAAGCCTCAATGGTCCCCCACAGCTCTCTTATTCTCAGCTCCCAAGACAGCTCTCTGATGTTAGTCCTGGAAGTCTTGCAGCATCCAAAGTTTAATTAAATAGGATGCTAAGGGAATTGGGATTATTTCTTAGAGCAGGGATGGCAAACTTTTTAGCTTGTAGGCCACAGAAAGCTGTTAGTTTAATATCACGCGGGCCTCAAGAATTTTCCACAGACTGTCTAACTCATACCAGCAAGTCCCAGAATGATGTGTGCATCAGTGGAAGCAAAATCGCTGTTAAGACACAGGCCTGGCATTCCCTCGCAGTCCTCTTTTTGACACTTTCCTCTGAGAGTGCTCTCTCACATGCTAAGCAGACAGGCCTCTTTCAGTAGGCCCTTTGGGTAAACCTGTCGAGAGGACAGATGACAGTAGTAGCTTCAATGGAAGACAGGCCTCCAGGATGGGGGGAAGCCAGGGATCATGACAATGGCTATGGACACTTCACCCGCTGTGTGCCGAGCAAAAATATACTTTGGTCAGTTTGGGGCTTAGGGAGAAGACGGCTTTGGTCTTGTCAAAAAAGAGGGTTTGAGCTATGGACAAGTAAATATTTGACAAAGAAGAAAAAAATCGAAGCTATTCAGAGAAAAATTACTTCAGAAGTGGTGATTTCAAGAAGTTTCTATTAATTATACTGTTATCTTTTTGAGCGCTGGGGGGAAAAGCTATTGTAATTTCAGTTTGCATTGATAAGACATCTAGTGTCTAATGACAGAAAGTAAAGGAACACTCAGTGTTTTTCACTAGACAATATCTGGAATGTTGTGCTCAGTTGTCCTCTCCCCATTAGCTAACTAGAGGTTATCTACAAAGGATGCTGAGAAGCCTAGCTGGGGCAGGACTAGAAAATATTTTACCTGAAAAGGAGCGGATTAACAAATATTAGAAAGGTTCCATTGTAGAAGCACAGACTCAGTCTATGTTGTTCTAAAAACAAGGCCAAGATCAATAGTGAAAGTCAAAGGAAGGCAGCCTTCAAAAGGGAGTTGTAAATCTAGACTTTTTAACAGGGAAAAGGATGAACTTGCGAGGCAGTGTGACCCCATCATAAGAGACATTCATTCTCCAAACTACTACAGTCTGTACCACTCAAAACTAACCTGTGTATCACACCATCCCTGGATTCCCACCCATCTATGAAATTCTTACTTATCCATCAAAGCTTACTTTAAATGTTGCTTCCTTCAACAAGACTTCCTGTCCTCCCAGATACTAGGCTAGATGTTAAATGCTCCCAAGCATTCTGTCACTTGTTTAACATCTGTCTTCTTTGACATAGTTATGTTCCATGAGGACAGGGACTGTGTATTACCAGCGTCCAAACTGGCACACTGTTATGCAGTGAATGAATGGCGGCCATCGATCAGGAAGGTATAAAGCATAAAAGCAACAGTCCTTTGAAATTTAAAATGTCTTATCTAATTGTTTGAAACATTAGCAATGGAATTTCCTACCACTATCTAAGGGGATGGAACAAAAGACCAACAGGTTTCCATTCAGTTAAGGCTCAGAAAGGAAGCCACACCCACCAGCTAAATTCACCTAATTTTATATATGATTTGCATACTGGTAGTTTCTAATAACTCGGGATCTTTCCCTAACCCACTGACAATACTGGACGCAGATTTTCTCAAAAAGTCTTTCTTACCTCATAGAAGAAGGGATGGCCAGCCATATCAAAGATGTTAACTTTGATTTCTCTGTCTCTGACTTGTACCCTGAAATGTTCAAATGGAAACAATTCCAAAGAAGGGTTATGGCTTCTGCATTCCCATTGAAATCATCTATGTCATTTATTAATTTTAAAAAGGTATGTGTGAAATTTAAAAGAGACTTTCTTAGTGCCTCTTCTTGATAATAGATAATCATTACAACAGAAGCTGGTAATTGGGCAGATCATCTTGCCCTCTGTATTTTCAGAACACTGAGCCCACTGTAATGAGCACCCTAATTTACCTTCAGCTTACCTCAAGATACTTTAGTCCATACCCCTTAACTAACAAATGGTGGCTATTACCATGGAACTAAGAAAACTGATGTGGGGCAAGTAGGACTGAGAGGAAGGAAAACAAAATATTTTATTTCACTTAAGAAGATATCTTAATTACTAGTGGTTATGCTGGGTTACCACGCAGAACAATAACTAAAGTGTGTGATCTTCACTGAGCAAAAACAAGTCAACTTGGTTTCAAAAATTTTTAAATAGAGAAAAGAACAAAAAGGAAAAATAACAACCATTCATATTAGAATTAAATACTATTCAACGTGGTAGCATATTTGCATCTTGTCCTTTTTATTTTTTTCCAGAAAAATCACTACTGGTAAATAAACTAATGAAGTATTGTAAGTATTTCAAACACTAAAGAAAAATACAAAGATGAAAGTTTAAAATTATCCCAAATCCTATCACCCAGAAAAAACCTTCGTCAATATAGATGAACATCACTACAGTCTTCTATGCATAGATATGACTGATGAGCATAAGTATTTTTTTTTTATAAAAATGGGATTACCCTATTTTAAAATAAAAAGTATGCGGGGCGCCTGGGTGGCTCAGTGGGTTAAAGCCTCTGCCTTCGGCTCAGGTCATGATCCCAGGGTCCTGGGATCGAGCCCCACGTCCGGCTCTCTGCTCAGCCGGGAGCCTGCTTCCTCCTCTCTCTCTGTCTGCCTCTCTGCCTACTTGTGATCTCTATCTATCAAATGAATAAATAATAAAATAAAAAAAAATAAAAAGTATGAAATGTACTTGTTACTGAATTTAACAAAAGAAAAGGGAACTGAAGTGAACTAGAATTATTAAACTTTAAATACGTTTCCTCATCACAAGAAATATTTCCTAAAAGATCCCTCTAAGTTAAGAATAGGAATTATTCACAATAAATTAACAGGGTAGAATCATTATGTTTTTAAGTGACATGTTTCAGTTTACACAGCATTGACATGAACCCCTCCTCCAGGATACAAGGACATCGGTACTTGCTCTCATTGTCCCTGTACTACCTCCTGGTTTGTTTATTGTTATTATCCCCTTGTCCGCATCTATAATATCCACTTTCTATTCTGAAATCATAATTCCTACAGTTGTTTTATATTACTTATAGACTTAAATTAAGCTAACCACCAATCATTTCTTTATTCCTGAATTTTCTACCATATTTCATCAATTCCAAAAAGCATATTTGCTTTCATTTTAACATCTGTGAAATCAGGATCCATCTTACAAAAGAGGATGTGAGAACAGCAAAACAAAATAACAACAGAGCCGGAGAGCATCTGGAGAAGATCTGGTATAATAATTTATACTAGAAAATATTGCCTTAAAGAGATAGCAGCTGACAGGGGATGTAAACAAGGCCATAAAGTCAAAAATGTATTCACACATTGAAACTCAAAGAGGTTAATTTAATTCAGATGCCAGACAGAGGCAATTACTTTAAGAAAAATGGTAATTCATTACCTCAAGGTTGTGCTTTCCTAGATTATGGCCTGAAGACCACCTGTATCATTATTATGAGAGACTGTTAAAAATGCAGATTCCTGTGCCCCATCTCAGACCTGGCAAATCGGAATCTTGGTGGGCAGGTCCTAGGAATCTGCATTTTTACAAACTCTATAAGTAATTCTTCAGCATGCTGGAATTTGAGCTTCACCATGTTGGAAACAGGGAGGATGGAATGGGTATCTATTATTTTGACTACCCCAGAGTATTCCCCTTTCCTCTTGTGGTTGTGGTTCAGATGGGTTCGGCTCTATGTTCTTAGTGACCCCACTTTGCTGGCCATAGCCAACTGAGCTGGGGAAACACACCTGTCCCCACCTGGACAATCAAACCTTCTCTGGGATTCTTTTTTTTTTTTTTTTTTTTTAAGATTTTATTTATTTACTTGACAGAGAGAGAGAGAGCGAGAGAGGGAACACAAGCAGGAGGAGTGGGAGAGGGAGAAGCAGGCTTCCCGCTAAGCAGGGAGCCTGATGTGGGGCTCAATCCCAGGACCCGGGGATCATGACCTGAGCTGAAGGCAGCCACTCAATGACTGAGCCACCCAGGCACCCCTTCCCTGGGATTTTTAAACTTGGAATACTAACTTCGGTCCCTCTCTGGAAGTAACATTCACACTGTGAGTCTGAGATCTGCTGGAAACCATGTAGAGGAAGCTATAAGGTGGAGAGAGATGGAGTAAATGATCTGGCTCTATTCTGTCCCTGGTTCCAGCCATCTCTAAGCCCAGCATCCTTATAACTGGATTATATGAATTTATTAATATCCTTTATTTATGCTTATTATTATTACTATTATTATTATTTTGCTTGAGCTGGTTTGACTTGGGTTGCTCTCAGTTATAGTCTCCTGATACACCATTGGACAACCATCTTTCTCCCAAAAACTTTCAGCCTGAAATAGAAGAGTCTGTTGACTAAATGACAACAGTTCTATGGTATAATATGGTGATACTCATCTCTTAGGGGAATAAATTAGTTACTTATATGGATTCAAAACAGAACTGCCTGAAATAGGATCTCCTGCCATATCACTGATGAAACTCTGTGTCCTGAAGTACAGATACACCCACCACTTTAGTCCACCTTCTTGAAAGCTGCCCTCATATTTAATCTTGCAAACTTCCTCTTCAGTCCTATCCTACCTAATAATACACAGTTTTTGAGTATCTACTCTGTACAAGCACTGTACCAGGCACTTGGGGATGATTTATACTAATAGCCCCTTCTTCGTGGAGCTTATAATCTAGCAGGAGACATTTAACATATAAAAATAACGACATGTGGCAATTTATTCTAAGTACCATAAACAGCATAGAAAAGTTTAATATTTTTGTCGTTTGCAACCAAAAAGAGTCCTCACTAATAAAGGAGGTATTCCAACACCTCATGGGAACAAGACCATTTCACATCTTGGAAAGTCTGACAGATGGAAAGATGAGGGGAAAGGACATTTCAGGTGGACAGAATAAATAATGGCACTGAGGCAAGAAAAATATGAGGACAGTGGTGTAGTGTGGAGGGAGGGTAAAGTGTGTAAAGGAATGAAACAAGAGGGAAGAAGAGGCAGGTTAGGGCCAGAATAGTAAGTCCCTGAAATTCCACCTTCCGGGAGAGTGCTGTATACCTCAATTCTATGCACTGGCAGTATTATTTCCTGCTAATGTAATCCTATCTCCCCAAGCTCAACCCACCCCAAGTCATCTCCAGATAAAACCCCACTTCTTCCCAGTTTTACTTCTCCCAGATCATTTTCTAGATACCAATAGACTATAAAGATCATAAACCAATAAATGATGTCGTCTGGTAGAAAATTTTCCACATAATATTTAGACTTTTCAGAAAGAGTATCTCAAAATGCTCTACAAACACATCTGCTAATGGGACCCACTTATACAAACATGTGTCATAAAAAGGCACATCTGTCAGTTGGGCTTTATATTAACTTGCTCATTGTTGTAGACCCTATACCTAAGGGAGGGCCGGCAAAAAAGAATGTGGTTGGTGATGATCAACTTATATGATCACTACATCTGTAAAGGTCTCTTATTCCTATCTTTCCTGATTTATTTTCAGATTACCTATTTCAAGACACATCATTTTATAGGAGTTCAAAGGTCTATGTAACTTACAAGCCCAAAAAACCAATGTACTTACTTTGTGACTCCATAGTCAATTCCAATGGTTGCAAGATATTTAGACACAAATCTTTTCTCACAGTATCGTTTTATAATACAGCTCTAAAAAGGTAAAAAAAAAAAATACAGGCTTTTAGTAAATACACTCTGGAAGCATACAAAATAAGCACAGTTCTTCATCATGGTTTCTTCACTCACCACAATGAGAGAGAAAGCATTTTCAAAGAACCAAAACAAATGCTAAAAGTGAAAATTTTAAGGAAAAATTACTTAAGTATTCTTCCCTAACACCAAACATGTTTTCAGTTTAGTTCTCCACCCTTGTGCTCTTTTCTTTTGAAGACTTACTCTTATGCTTTCAACAATACCACCAAAACGTTTAGCGTTGACCTCCCTTCTCAAAAGCACATCTATACCTTCAGTACTAAGACTACTTTGTACTTGGGTGTCCTGCTGTTACCTCCAATTCAACATGTCCCAAAATGGCCTAATCCTGTACATAAAAACAGTTCATCCTGCTGACATCCTGGTTCTGTTAATACCACCATTTTCCCAACCATAGAGGATCAGAATATTAAAGCCATGTTTGATTCTGAGCCTTTCTAAACCTTCTGAAGGTTTCCTGCCTCCTTCTCATTCCAATTCCCACTTACACCTTTTGGGTTTAGATTCTCATCATCTACTAGACAACGGTAGGAAATTCTTTTTTTTTTTTTTTAAGATTTTATTTATTTATTTGACAGACAGAGATTACAAGTAGACAGAGAAGCAGGCAGAGAGAGGAAGGAAAGCAGGCTCCCTGCTGAGCAGAGAGCCCGATGCAGGGCTCGATCCCAGGACCCCGGGATCATGACCTGAGCCGAAGGCAGAGGCTTTAACCCACTGAGCCACCCAGGCACCCCGGTAGGAAATTCTTTATTGGTCTTTCTGCCTTCCTTTCCTCCCAACCTCAGTCAATACGGCACACCACTGACATTTTTCACTTCCCTAACTCAAAAATCGTCAGTGGTTTCTCAGTGCCAAGTTTGAAACCCAAATTCCTTTGTCCTTTATTTTTATTTATTTTTTTAAAGATTTTATTCATTTATTTGACAGAGAGAGATCACGAGTAGACGGAGAGGCAGGCAGAGAGAGAGAGAGAGAGAGAGAGAGAGAAGCAGGCTCCCCGCTGAGCAGAGAGCCCTATGCAGGACTCGATCCCAGGACCCTGAGATCATGACCTGAGCCGAAGGCAGCGGCTTAACCCACTGAGCCACCCAGGCGCCCCCTTTGTCCTTTATTTAAGGTCCTCCATAATCTGGCCCTAATCTGTATTCCCTGTCTGAACCCTTGTAATACAAACTCTCCATTTCTGCAAAACTCCTGGACACCTGACTTCCTAGCTTTTGTCATGACTTGCCCTCTAGTTGGAATGAGCCTCCTCCCTTCTTTCCAAATCTTAACTTGTCCTTTAAGGCCCAGCTCAAGCTCTGAGCTCCAGGTTTTAAGAGATCTTGCCTGCATCTGAACTCTTCCAATACTTTACACACATACCAATATACACACATATATTACACACACACACACACACACACACACCAGCAGTCATACATGGCTTTGTATTGTAAGTTATCATTTCACATGTACATATTCACATTATCTCTTCAGCTAGATGGTATACTATTTGAGGACAACAAACGCTGGTATTTTACTTCTATCTTTTTGCTCATGCCATTGAAATTTGCTCAGTGCCAGTGAAAACCAACTTGTATATTAATAACAACCCTTAGCACTCATGAAACTTACAATTTACTTGGGAGTGCTAGTAACGGAGTATATTTTGCTCAAATCCTTCCCCGATGAATGTTAACCTAAATTAAATAGGACAGTTAATTTAAAAAGCAGTTAATAAGCTTACTGTGAACTGAAGGAAAAATTTCTTTGGAGTGACTACTGCTAAGAGGCTATACTTTTAAAAGCATTTTATAGCTGGAACGCACTTCACAAATATTTTCTCTCACAATAGCTTGGGAAAATGAATATAGCCTTTTTCTAAATTATTCATGAGATTAAGAGGCCTAGCAGTCCTTTAACTATAGTACACTATTTAAACACTAGTTATAAGTATTTCACAAGACATATATTTAAGTAATTGTATTAATAACCACTCCCTATTACATAAATAGGGCTCCTGGTCCTTAGGCTCTTATAAGCTCTTATAAGTTAAATAACATAAATACAGAGAGAATGTTTTGCTCTCACTATTTTTCTTAAATAGATTTTTACGTACTATTTTTTTTTTTTTTTTTACACAGATTCAGCTAAAATCTTAACAGGTTTGGGCCTCTGTTTTTAATAGAATTTTCCTAAAATTCATATGAAAGAACAACTATCTGGGAAGAACTAATCAAAATATGAAAAAGAGGAATGGGGCAGGACAATAGAAAGAAGAGGGAACCTACCTTAATAGATATCAAAATACAGTCTGAAGCCAATCAAGACAATATTATATTGGCATAAGACAAATAGGTCAGTAGAACAGAAGAGAGAGCCCAGAAATAGATCCTATTAAAAGAAGAGAGTTTAAAAGTGACAAGGTGATATTTAAAGTTAAGAGGAAATGGGCGACTGGGTTGCTCAGTTGGTTAAGCAACTGCCTTCGGCTCAGGTCATGATCCAGGACAATCAGGACTGAGTCCTGCATCAGGCTCCCAGCTCCATGGGGAGTCTACTGCTTCTCCCTCTTACCTTCTCCCCTCTCATGTTCTCTCTTACTGTCTATCTCAAATAAATAAATAAAATCTTTAAAGTTAAGGGGAAAAGACTGACTTATTTGGTAAAATGCTACTTACACAAGTTAGGCCTTTCTCTAAATACAGAATAATTCAGATGAATTTGTGATTTCAAAATTTAAAAATAAAACAACAAAAATTTCAGAAGAAAATGTGCACCGACACTTCTCGGCCCTTTGGCTAAGATCAAGTGCAAAAGAAATGTGCAACATATGTACAACCTTAGGGAAACATTTTCAACCAAGAAAGGAAACTCAAAAATCATAAAAGAAAGGACAGGAGTGTGGGGGTGGCTTAGCCGGTTAAGCCTTTGGCTTCAGCTGTGATCCCGGAGTCCAGGGACTGAGCCCCTCATCGTGCTCCCTGCTCAGTGGAGAGTCTGCTTCTTCCTCAGACCCTACCCCACCAATAAATAAATAAATCTTAAAAAAAAAAAAAAAAAAAAAGGAAGGAAGCAAGGACAGGCACAACTGAGTATATAAAAAATAATAATAATGGGGTGCCTGGATGGCTCAGTGAGTTAAGCGTCTGCCTTTGGCTCAGGTCATGATCCCAGGGTTTTGGGATCGAGCCCACATCAGGCTCCCTGCTCAGCGGAGAGCCTGCTTCTCCCTCTTCCACTCCCCCTGCTTGTGTTCCCTCTCTCGCTGTGTCTATCAAATAAATAAATAATTTTTTTAAAAAAGAAATAATAATAACAAAAGCAATTGTATGGCAAAATATTTGTAAAAATATTAAAAGACAATGACATATCCAGACAAATATTCATTACTTATATGACTGGCAAAATTTATTATCTCTGATGTCCCTGAACCAGAAAAATTGATAAGACACGTTATCCAAAAGAAAAATAAATAGGGAATATAAATATACAGAACAGCAAATCCAAATAGCCAATAAGCATATGAAAAGGTGCTCAACTTCATCTGTAATCCATGAAATGCAAATTAAAGTAATAATTCTCACTATCCAGACTGGGAGTCATTAAAAGAATGACAACACCTGTGTTGGCAGGGATATGGGAAAAAGGGTACCTCCGTACCATATTGTTGGTAGAAACACAGTTTTTTGAAGAAAAGTTGGCAATAGCTATGAAAATTTTAAAATATGCTCTTGAACTCAGCATTCCACCCCTGGAAATCTAGTCTATAGAAATGAGAAAACCAGTATTTACATGTGTACACACACACACACACACACACACACACAGTATTTATTGCAACATTGCTTGTAGTAGGGGAAAAGCTGGAAATGACATGAATTCTCATCAGAAGAATGCTTGCATATTGTGGACTATATACAAATGAAAAGGAGTAGAGCTGTATCAGATTACTTGGAGGGATTATCATGTCTATTGTTAAGACAGAGAAGTGGGGCGCCTGGGTGGCTCAGTGGATTAAAGCCTCTGCCTTCAGCTCAGGTCATGATCCCAGGGTCCTGGGATCGAGCCCCGCATCGGGCTCTCTGCTTGGCGGGGAGTCTGCTTCCCCCTCTCTCTCTGCCTACTTGTGATCTCTGTCTCTCAAATAAATAAATAAAATCTTAAAAAAAAAAGAGAAGTAAACTCCAATAAGTATATGCAATATTGCAGGATATTTGAAAACTCAATTCAACTAATTTAACAGGAAAATATTTATTAAATTTAACTGGAAATCTAAAATTAGGGCAAGCTTCAAAGTTGGATGTTACAAAGAGTCTGACCCTAGAGGACACTGAGAACTGGACTGGGTCTTTGGAGTAGGTTGACTGCCAAGGCAGAAAGCTGAATCAGATATACACAAAGACCACAGAGAACTTTCAGGATTCTCCCATAGAGAATATTAAGCCCTTGGAAATCCCCTTTTTGTTACTGAATTTCTAGAACCTCTTAAACAATGCTGAGTAATAAAGGAAAATAGCAAGTATCCTTTTCGTACCTAATTTTAATGGAAATAGACTTAGCATTGTACCATCTGCTATGATATTTGCTGTTGGCTAATAATAAATATTGTCTTTCATATTTAGGTAGTTTCATTTTATTCTGATTCTGCTTAAAGTTTTTATTAGGATTGACTACTTGATTATATCAAATGTTTTTCCAGTACCGAAAAAATATTCTCCAGTAGTCAGTTAATGTAACAAATTATGTTGGCGAACTTCTTAATATTGAACCATGTTTGCATTCCAGGGATAAACTCTCCTTGCTAGTAGTGAATTATTTTTGATATACTACTGAATTCTATTTGTTGATATTTAAGAAATTATACATCTCTCTGTATTTGTGAAATTGGGATATACTTTTCTGTTTTGATACTATATCAAGTTTTGCTAGTTAAGTTACCACAACTTCATATAATAAACTGGAGCTGTTCACCTTTTTCTTTGCCTTAAAATTATTTAAGTAACTGAAATTATATGTTATTTAAAGCTTAAATTAAGCTTATTCATGAAGCCATCTGATCCTGATACCTTTTAGAAGGATAAATCTTTTCAATGTTTTTCTAATTCTTATATGACTAAGGGATTGGGTTTTCTACTTCTTTTTGAGTCAGTTTTGGTCATTTATATTTTGCTAGGAAGTCCTTCATTTCCCCTACATTTTCAAATGTGCTTCTACAGAACTGGATGTAATATTCCCTAGTCATTCTTTTAATCTCTTCTAGTATGTGATTATGTCTCCCTTTCAGTACTAATCTTGAAATTTTTCATTTTCTCTATTTTCTTCTTAAATAGATTTTTTAAGGCACTTTTCTTTATTAATTTTAATTTTCCAAACTTTCTTTTGGTTTATTTTGTGACCTTTTCCTAATGTCTTAGGTATTAAGTTCCTTTAATCTTTTGAAATGAGATATACCATATTACAAAATTCACACTTTTAAGGTATAGACTTCGGTGGGTTTTTTGTACACTCACAAAGTTGTAAAACCATTAAGTTCTTTTAGTTTTTCTCTCTCTCTTCCTTAGAAATGAATAAGATAATGTGTTTTCCTTTGACTACAGGTTTAATTTTGTCCTGAAGTTTTCAGTATAGAAACTCTTTAACTGCTTTCTAGTTATTTTGTCATTTGTTTTGATTTGCCCTTTATGCCAAAGATTATTTACTACGGTATGTCTTAATTTTTAACTTAAAATTGTTTCTCTTTCTATATTTTCCAAATTCTTTAAACTGAATATGTGTTACTTTTATAAGTAAGGCTTTTTTTTTTTTTTTTTTTGAGAGAAAGAGAGAGAGTGTGTGAGGGGAGAGGAAGGGCGCGGGGCGGGGGGCGGAGGGGGGACAGAGAGAATCTTAAGTAAGCGCCATACCCAGCATGGAGCCTGACATGGGGCTCAATTTCATAACCCTGAGATCATGACCTGAGCCAAAATGCTTAACCAACTGAGCCACCCAGGTGCCCTGGCAATTTTTTTTTTTCTTTTAAGTTACATTTAAATCTTTGATCCAACTAAAATTCATTTTTGAGAAAGCAATGCAAGAGGCATCCACCTCACTCCCAAACAGTAAATAGTTGTTCCAGCAGTACTTATTAAATGGTCTCTACTTTCCTACCACTTTACTATATTTGTTATAAATTTGTTATGAATTTCCTTATGTGTTTGGATTTATTTCTGGACTCCAGTCTATTCCACTGATGTCTCTCTATGTCCTTCTCAGCATCAATAGGAAAAACTTGGTAATTTAAAATGTGTTTTATTATCTGGTAGTGTTTTCCCTTTTTTTTCAGTTTTCTTAGTTATTCTCACATTTAATTTTTCATAAGGACCTTAATACTTTCTATTATGTTCTGAAAGGGAAAAAAAAAACTGTTTTTATTTTAACTAGTATTTTAACTAGGATTGAATTACACTTGTAGATTATTTTAAAGAACTGACATCTCTAAAATGTTGAGTGATCCTAATTAAGGGGAAAGTATATCTTTCCATGTGCCTAAGTAATTTTATATCACTTTGTAGAGCTTTAAATTTTTCTTTATATAGGTCCTACCTATTTCTTCTTAAGTTTAAACCTAGGCATTTTATTTTGGCTGTTATTGTAAATTAAAATAATTTCTCAATTATATATTAAAAATACTATTTGATATACTACAGCTGTTAATTTTTGCATATTAATTTTGCTTTACTGAATTTTCTTATTGTTTCTTAAAGTTTTTCAGTTAATTCTCTTTGGGTTTCAAGATAAATAATCATATCATTAATAATGATATGATCATAATCATAATCATAGCAAATAATAATAATTTTGCCTTCTCCTTTCCAGTCTCTCATATTTTTTTTCCTCTTGTCTAATTGCATTGGCTAATAAATATAGAACAATGTTAAAAAAATGTGACACTGGGCATTTTGGGCTATTTTTAATGTTGCACCATTAGGCACAGGAAAATGGTAAAAGTGATGCATGCTTACTTAGCCAGCTCACTATTAAACCTTTAAAAGGCTTTATTCTTTTCTTTTTAATGCCTGGCACATAGCTGGTGTTCAATAAATGTTGAGTTTCAGTGAACTTCTGTTAATACATATATATACAAAGATACATAAATAGTACAGGATATTACTAAATGGAAAGAAAAGGCACTAATAAACATTTACTGAGCATCAACAATGTGCAGAGCACCGGCCTAAACACCTCCATTAAGGGCTCTTTTGATTTTCACAGCATACAATGATGGAGCGAGAACTCCAATAGGCTGTGAAGACTCAAGTTCTAGTCCTGTCTCTGTCATTGATTTGATGACCTTGGAAGGTTCTTAACCAACAGCTTCCACTTACCCAGAAAGGGAGACAATTTGGGTGAAGAGGAGACAGTTTAGAATTCACTTGGGGGAAGGCCTTTGGTCCCTCTTGCCCCACCCCCGACAACCCCTCCCCCCCAACTATGGGAGAGCTAACAGCGGGGACCCACTAGAGCCAGCCAAGAGAAAGGTGGTAGGACGAAGGCTTTGAGAGAATGAATATGATGACACCACCGGAAAAAAAAAAACAAAAAAACAAAAGCATTGCACAAAACAAAATGCAGACTCCGTGACATCCACTGCACTTCCCTTGGGAAAAATGTCACCCTCAGTTGCGCTCTTAAAATAAATTCTGGGCTCCATGTCCGCGGAGCAACATTCACAAACTCCAATCCTCACATGCACCCCGGTAAGCTCCCTTAGGCTCCCAAGAACTGCTGGGGTAACTCAACTTTTCTTCTCCACCTCTAAGTCCTGGACAGGTCACCTAGAAGGCAGATAGGGTAGTAGGCAGACGATCTGACATAAGGACCTAGGCCTCCTTACTCTTTGGGGGATACATTCAAGGGTTAGCGGTCACAGGAGACACCTTCTTATGGAGAGTGACGTCAGTGGAGGAGGAAGGGGGGCAACCAAAGGTCAAAAAGGTCAGGAGAGTTTTCCTCGTAGAGGCGCATCCCCCAGGAGGAGACCCAGGCCTGCTCAGGGGCGGGGAGGAGGCCGGGCCCCGGGCAGTTGAGTGGCCGCCCTCCCAGCCAATGGGCACGTCGCCCCGCCGCGCTGAGGTCCCGCCCCTCCCAGCGCAGTACTCACTTTTCCCACTTCAGCGTTGCCCATGGAGATGACTTTGATGCGCAGGGACTTGCCAGGCTCCTTCCGCTTCGGCATGTTGGCCTCCATTGCCCTCGCTCTCTCGGGGCCACCCGCCTCGCTATCTCCTTGTTCACCAGGCTGGCCCGTCCCTCAGGGCTCCTCGTCCAATGGTGGACTCGCTGCTATCGTCACCGCCCCGGCTCCGCGCCTCGCCATCCCCGCCGCTGCCTAGCAGCGGGCGCGGGCTGTTGGGAGCTCTGGGGACTGGGGGTGGGAGCAGACAATCTCGCGATGCTAGAAAGGGGCGGCGTGACGTCATCACCGGGCTCTGGGGACGAGGTTTTGATTACCTGTTCCCAGGAGTCGCGCCGACGTGAGGGGCTGAGTCTCTCCGCAGGAAGTCGGCGTTGGGGTGTGCTGGGTATACACCCGGAGCGCGGCGGGGGTGCGGGGGCGCCAGGACAGCGGCATTTGTTAACGTTTCATCTCCGAGTGGTAGAAATGTGTTGGGGGTTGGGGGCAGATAATCGGGCTGGGAGTATTTGGAATTGAGGGGCCAGGCCCAGTCGCGCTAAAAATTCGGAAGTAGACCATAGTATGTTTGGCGGTTGTTTTTCTGAATTCTTCCGTCCCTATGGGCGGGTCTGCACTAATAGCCCCCGCCTACCCATATTATGTTTCTCTTGCGGGGAGTTGGAGAAGTCGGGGCCCTGGTTCTGGAACAGGAGCGTTAGGCAAGATCTGAATCCCGTTAACTATTGTTAAAAAAATAGCTTATCTATTTGGAGTCAAGACTGATTTTAGTTGAGTCATTGCTCTTCTTATTACATAGTCCTTATCTGTAGGAAGAAAGCTCAGATTAGACATTTCTTAGACTCTTCCAGTTCTGTGAAGGGGTGTGTGTGTGTGTGTGTGTGTGTGCGTCCTTGTAGCTGTTTGCTCCTTCATTTTCCTCTCCCTCCCACTCACGTTCAAAGTTAACCCCATCATCTGTGCTCACCTTCCCTGTACTGTTAATATGACCGTAGAATAATAGCGAATCCTAAAATAACCACTTTTCTATTCTCATTCAAGGGGATGAGGATCTGCTTAGAGAAAAAACTGTCTGGGAGGAACAGTAAATTTTTGAGTCATCATCTTGAGTTACAGAAGTTAAATAGAACTTGACAAATGATTAGTACCTTGAAAAAGAATGGCTGCCAACTTCCGAGTATATTACAAGGGCAAAAGTAGCATTATTTCTGTTCTCATGTAGCTTTAAACATCTTAAAGGAAATACATTGTGGGAAGATAGTGAATAAAGCCTTAAAATTTCTTATTTTCAAAAGCATGATTTTTAAGAAAGAAGCTTACTCTGGGTTGTATTTATGATCACCAAGTAATAAAACTTAGTTTAATGAAGCTTCTAAGGTTTTTTTTACAACCATGAAATATAAGTCCTGGTCAGAATTTCGATATTTTAAAGTTCAAAAGAATTTAATTTATACTGATTCTTCACAAATCTAGATGCTGACCTCTCAGTATAATTTAATAAAGCAATAAACATCTTTTTTCTTTGCTAGTGCACCTTTGGCCCTGTAATACAACTGTTGTGGAAGAATAATTGCAAAATGTCAAATCTTCACTTATTAAAAGACAGATTAGGTATGACACTATTGCGCATATGGGCAGTAAAACAGGCCAAAGATTAAAATTTATTACCATTTTTTCATAGTGATGTTTCTTATGTTTGAAAATGTACAGCCATATCTATTGGGTGTGCAATTTAATTTGGAATTGAAAAGGCAAAAGAATTAGCTTTCTTTTCCAGTCTTTTTTTGTTCTTCTTCTTCTTCAGGTTCTCCCCACCCCTTTTATTTTCCAGTCTTTAATACAGAAAGAAGAAAGAAGTGTGCAGGTGCCTGAATGGCTCAGTTGGTTAAGCGGCTGCCTTCAGCTCAGATCATGATTTTCAGGTCCTGGGATCAAGCCCCATAACAGACTTCGTGCTCATCAGGGAGTCTGCTTCTCTCTCCACCACCCCCCTGTCCCTCCCCACCCCTCATTCTCTGTCAAAAAAAAAAAAAATCTTTTAAAAAAATTATAAAAGTTAAAAAAAAAAAGAGGAAGAAAGTGTGCATTAGCTGCTCATAGTACAAACCTAGGAAGTGGGGGTTAGGAACATATGCTCTGGGGGTTAGGAACATATACTCTGGAGTCAGCCCTGTTACACTTTTCATTGGTGTAAGATGGGCATGTGGTGAGGGTAAAGATTGCAAGAAATAATGTACATGCACATGAAATACATGGTAGTTCCCCAGTTACTAGCTGTATGCTTTCCTATACTCACATTTTTTATTTTTATGCATTAAAGACTACATATTTTAAATCTGTGTTTTTAAAGTATATTATGAAATATTTTGGACCTGGTTAAAGGTATACAGAATAATATAATGAATACCTCTGCAAACACCGCATAGCTTAACAAATGAAATGTCACTGATACTGTGTGTGCTTTCCCAATACGTCCATCCTCCCTCTTTCTAAAAGGTTGCAACTATCTGAATTGGTGCTTTTAATTTCCAGGCATTTAAAAATTGTTTTTACTACCGATGTATATACCATCTTAAAAATGTAGTGTTGTGTTGCATTTAAAAAAATCTTTATTGTGAAATAATTTCACTCAGAAAAGTTTTAAGAACAGCAGAAAAAAGTTGTATATATACTTCATCCAGATTCATCAATTTTTGACATTATACCTCTTTTACTGTATCAGTTGTACTCACTATCTATATATTCATATATATATATATATATATATATATATACATACACACACACACTTTTTTAAAAAGATCTTATTTATTTATTTCACAGAGATCACAAGCAGGCAGAGAGGCAGGCAGAGAGAGGGGGAAGCAGGCTCCCTGCCGAGCAGAGAGCTGGATGCGGGGCTCGATTCCAGGACGCTGGGATCATGACCTGAGCTGAAGGCAGAGGCTTTAACCCACTGAGCCACCCAGGCGTCCCACACACACTTTTTTTCTGAATAATCTGAGAGTAGTTTACACATGTTTCTTTATCCAAAAATACTTCAATTTGTATTTCCTAAGGACTTTCTCTTGCATAGCAATGGGATATTTATGGAAATCAGGAAATGTAACATTGTAACAACAACACTATTATCTAATCCTATGGCTCTGGAACTGTGCAGTGCGGTGCCCCACATCCTCTCAGGGTAATCCAAGGGTTTATCTGTGGGATATTTTACATTCTAAGTTTTCAAGGCAAAGTGAAAACTACTAGCTCAAGGTTGTTTACAATTTCAACAATAGGTGGCACCATATTCCTTGGATATATCATGTATTTGGGAAGCTGGATTTTTCAGGGGTTGCGATAAATAAGCAAGTATAGCACCAAAATCAATGAGAATCAGGAAATGAGGGTGCTCTTGTCTAATCTGATTCCAAGGTTTGAGAAGTTGTGCAATGCCCAACAGGTGCACAAATCCTATTGTGGTTAAGATGAAATAAAAAACTTTCAATTTATGTGTATTATTTTTTAAAATGGCAACTAAATTGTTAGGGCATAAATATTTAATAAGTTGTTTGAACCTGAATATTTCCTTTGACCAAGGAACACTCTGAAAAAAAAATGGAGATACTAAGGGTGCCTGGAATGAAGGACATTTGGGAAACCTTGATCTAACCCACAGTTCATCATTAGTGCCAATAATATCCATTATAACTATGTTCCCCTCTCCCCCAGTCTGGAGTCTCATCCAGCATCATTTAGTTGTGATGCATCTTTAGTCTTCTATCTAGTATGATTCCTTAGTTTTTCTTTATCTTCCAAAATGACAGTTATTTTTGAAATATCCCTCAGTTTGTGTTTGCCTGATATATTCTTATAATTAGATTCAATAATGTTTGGCTAAAATAGCATGGGAAAGGCATTATGTCTTTTTAAGGGTATCATGTTAGAAAATGGGTGATGTCAATTTGTTCCACTTAATAGTATGTTAACTTTAGTTACGGTCCAGTGTTTACTAGTTATGGTCCAGTGTTTACTATTAATTCACAATAAAGTGAATTTTTCCCTTTGTAATAAGTAATCTATAAGGGGATACTTAGAAATTATATAGATATCCTTTCTCCATTGAACTTTTATCCACAAATTTTCATAATCCAATGAGGATTCATGACAGAAGAGATTATTGCTATGATGGATGAGAAATGGTGATTTTTTAAACTCCATCATTTCTCCTACATTTATTATTTAGTAGTCTACCACAAGGGAGGACTTCCTTTCTCATTCAGTCATTTATATCGGGATGCCCTCATATATGCTTATTTTACTCCATGAATGTTCTGTTATTACTATTTGTTTTGATGCTAAAGCTGGCTCATGTCTTCTTGATATGTCTCCACCATTTTTTGGTTGTTTTGAGTACTTCTGTGCTTTCTGGCACAATGAGCCCTGGATCCCCAAGTCCTTTTAGTGGAGAAAGGTATTTAGAAACCATAATTTGAGTGCTAGTTGTGTTCATTGATCTGGGTGCCTTTGCTTTGGGCCCTTTCAATTAACTGAGTCAAAAAAAATACATATATGTATGTGTCTATATATATATATATATATATATATGCATCTAAATCCATATATTAAAACATATTTCACACTGATATCCCCATTTCAGCACACCAGAATTCATTCTAGTCTTCCCCCTGTCCAAATTTATAACTCTCTGCTTCAACAGTAAGAAACCTGGCTCTCATTATCTTCAATATATTTACTCATTTGCCCAACCCACAGTTCATAGGAAGTACTTTCAGAATGCTAAACCATACCATTTCAAAAAATGGGAACATTTTAAACTAGAATTCAGTGTTTATTTATAGCTATTTTTGTTGTTATAGCTTTTTTTTAAACAAAGATTTTAATAATTTATTTGAGAGGGAGAGAGAGAAACAGAGAGCACAGGTGGGGAGGAGAGGAAGAAGCAGGCTCCCCGCTGAGCAGGGAGCCTGATGTGGGGTTCGATCCCAGGACTCAGGGATCATGACCTGAGCCAAAGACAGACACTGAACTGACTGAGCCACTCAGGCACCCCATAGCTATTTTGTCTCAAACTGACAAATACAGTTTTTCATATAGTTTCATATAGTATAAATATTATGTTCAAAAGTTAATTGGGTTAATCCTTTTTTCCCTCTTTCGTGTGCTTATAGTTTTCATTTGAAATGCAGTTAAGTTTCTTTGTTTCTGTTAGTATTTTACTCTGGTTTTTTCCCCTTCAT